GGAATGCTGCCCAAATTTTTGCTAATTCAAGGAGTTAGACAAAATTAGACTTTGAGAAGTCAAAGTTATTTCCAGATTTTGAAATTAGCCTTGTATAAATTTTGGAATAACACTTTTCCAAAGGGAGTGCTGTCAAAGTTTCTGCAAAAGTGAGAGGTTAGCTAAATCTTGTCTAAGTGGAGCTCAAGTTGTCTTTTGAGTTCACATCTTACTTAGTATAAATCTGGGAAGTCTCCCTTTCTAAAGGGAGTGTTGCCCGAATTTCTGCTAATTTAGGAAGTTAGACAAAATTGGACTTTGGACAGCCTAAGGCTATTTCTGTTTTTCATACCTGAGCTGATATGAACTTTGAAAAGACACTTTTCTTACGGGAAGCGCTGACGAAAATTTCTTGAATTAGAGGAGTTAGATTATATTTTGACAGGTGGCGATTTTGACAATCCACCCTGAATAGGGGAGATTATGTCGGGGCCCACCTTTGCTTTGGGCGCAACTTATAGGTAGATTCAGGCTTAGTTAATTAAGGCGATTTGAGTGAGATCATGATATGGGGATTATTCTCTATGGACTTATAGGGTCAGCCTGGGGATTGACCTGCTTGTGTTACATGCCATCTTGATTGATTTGATTCAGGATTTGAACCAGTTCCGGATTGATCCTACGAGGATCGTCTTCTGTTATCACTGATAACAGGTCGGTTGCCGATTCGTCGGTCTTCGACTAAATTTCAATCCATTCCCCATACTCAACCTAAAAGGCTTTAGCCCTGGTGGTTTTTACTGTTTGTTAAGGGTTTCACCCGAACTTTTATTGAATGACCATTTGACAAAGGTACTGAGTATTTAATTAAGGTTGGTTGGATCGGCGATTGGGGCTTGCATGGCTAAAACGAAGGGGTATGAGCATAGAGAATGGTTGGGGTTGACTCCGTGTAGTGCGTGCTTTGTCGCTTGATTCTTGGTGTGGTTGCAAGTATGTCCTGTGGCTTGGATTTTGGATTTGGACTGCCTGCGATTCCATATACATATGCACGGTTGTGAGGCGTCCCACTGTGCCTGTGAGGAGTGATCGTCATAACTCTATCCCCTTATGCATGTATGCGCGAGTATCCGTACGATGGGTATCCAAGGGGCCCAAGGGGGCCGTGCTAGTAACCGCGCGGAGGTTGGGACAGAGGGACAGGGAAGACCCCCCCCCCCCGGTTCTGCCTATTTGCGTCTTGGGGCTTTTCTAGTCGGACGTTGGTCCTGGGCCGGGATTTGAGGTCCTTGTCCAGGACATCCCAAGCCCTAGGCCCAAAAGGGGAGGGGTCTCCCCTTGCATAGGGCCTGCTTACTTTGGCCGACGGGACACTCCGCCTGGAGGGCGGAAATGTCGCAAGGGCCGAACGGCGTATCCTTCAGCCGTTCAATATCGTGAGGGGTAACCCCTCGCGATGAGTTTCTTCAGCCATTCAATATCGCGAGGACGAAGCCGCGGTTACCACATATGATTGACATCAGTGGTTGTCATAGGGTTGGCCTGCGGCCGCGCAATTTTATATCAGAGCCGTGCGCACGACGCCTCGCCGCCCCCGGCGTCTAAAAGTTATGGGACCGTCGGGCTTGCGCGTAGGCGCAGCGCTTAGGATTATTACAGGCCGCCGGCACCGCCCATAGAGGGGAAGTGCGTCCCAAGGCCATGAGTTTTTGTTTTAAGGGCCAAGAGACCTTTGCCCTATCCCTTCTTGGGTTCGTGCGAGTCTTGTTGCTTCTTAGAGATTTTTATGGTTGGACGTTGTAGTCGGTGGTTGCTGTCAAAGTCAAACCCCTTGACTTTCACCCAGGCCCCGAGGAGGACTCACCCCTAGGGCCGCGAGAGACGACTACCACCACAGGCATGAGCCTGTGTACCACCCGGTCTGCATAAGGGGTGCAGACGAGGGTGTGTGGTCTTCAACCGCGCATGGCAGTTGTCCAGCGTCGAGAGATTAACCCTCAAGGCGCGTGTCAGCCGACACTTGAGTGTCCAACGCGACCCTCGAGATTAACGAGGACCGCATGAGTATGGGTATCACGTGGTACGCCATCGTTGCGACCGCTTGCGTGCGCTTGCATCACGAGTCGATATGAGTTAGCCCTGCGTCCGCGCGATTTTTATACTAAGTCTCGCGCGCGACGCCTATCCTATTTCCGCGTCGGAAAGTTATGGGTTGGCTACCGAGGGGCTAGGAGCGTTGCCGCGTTGTTTGCGTTCTGTCGTTCCGTGTGTATGTGTGCGTGTTGTTGTCGTGCGGTTGTGGTGTGCGTGTGGAGTGTGGGATGCGTCCTAGTCGACCGACGACGAGTCGCGCTTGGGACTTCAGCCCCCCAAGATGTCGGTTCGCGTGCGGGTCCGATAGGCGTATTACCKCGCGTACCCCCTATGCTACAGCGAACGAGAAACGCCCTCGGCTGGTCCACCTCTGCGATTGCCACCGAGTAGCTTTCGTATTGTGGACTGGTAGCTCAGCGGGGATTCGCTCACGGAAGGGAGGTGATAGCTCCCATAAGATGGAGGTAACCTGTGCCTCGGGTAGGCCCTATCCTGTCGTAGGGGCTCGCGAGAGGTATGGTTGGCGCACTCTGCCGGAGCGGCCTAAGGAAACTCCTTTTGTGTGTTCGCGACGAGGTTGGTCCAACTCCTGCGTGACGCGGTCGAGAGGGTCCCGCGCTGCCGCGCGCGGTGTCGGACCGATGCACTCGACAGGTGGCGCCGTTGCCGGGGATGACGGAAGCCTACCGTTGTCCCTGGTGGAACGACCTCCGGTTATGGGAGTAAGCGGGAAACTAGGCATATGAGTGAATAAGAGAAGGACTATGAGATGTATGTAAGGTGATCTAGGTGACTATGGGTTGGATGATTGATTGATTGGTGGTTTGGTTGACAACAGGGTGCGGTATGTGGGCGAGGAAGTTCTATGGTAAGGATATGCGTCATCTAGATGGGCCTAAGGGGAATGGGAGAAGGAATGCCTGTCAGGTCTAGAGTGTGGGGTGTCTAAGGTGGTCAACTCGATAGGGTCATGAAAGGTTGAGTCGCTGAGTGAGGTCCTCTGTCCCATCGTCTCTTATAACAGGAAGATTGAAGTCGAAGGCGGGTGGCCAAAATGCCAGAAGAGATGGCGGACGGTGGGAGGAAGCTTGTGACTCTTGATGACCTCATCGATGGCCTGGACAAGCGCGAGAGGGCGCGAGCAACGTCCCAAAGGTCGAGACATTCCACTTCAAAGGAGATCGGGTATCTGATTGGCTGGATCTGACAGAGCAGGCACTAGTGGGGCTGTCAGATGAGGTCAAGCTCCAGCGGGTCCTGAGGTATGTCTTGCACAGTCACCATGGGGAAGTATCTAAGGTTGTGGACGCCGCCGGTGGCAGTTGGGCAAAGTTTGGGGACCTAATGCGAAGAAAGTACAGGCTGGGGGACGGCTTGTTGACCATGGCTGACTTGGAGGCCATGAATAAGGAAGATTTCTCCACCATTGGGGCGTTTGTGCACGAATTTAAGAAAAAGGCGAGGAAAGTGCACGGGATTTCTGAGAAGGCGCAGTGCGCCACATTTCTGGGACTGCTTACGGGCTCGGAGGCCACAGAGATGACCAAGTATGGGGAAGGGAGCGAGGCTCTCATGGGCAACCATTGACAAGGGAGTGGAAGAAGGGAGTCTGGACCAGGTGGGCCATTACCAAATGAGGCTGCAAAGGCACAAGAGGAAGGAGAGGGATGCTACCGCATCCGGGACCCCAGGGGTGAAGAGAATAGTCACGGACGTGCTGGCGGCACTGGGCTATGATAATGAAGCAAAGATACAGAAGAGAGGGGTGCTAGTGGCCCAAGGTCGGGCGTCATGGGCAGTAGATGAGGAGGCTGGGCAAAAAGACTATGGCGGAGGGGAGACAGGCTTCCAGGTCCTGACTAAGGCCCAGAGGAAGCAACGCAACTTGTTGCAAGGAGGGCAGGGGTCAGGGAAGGGACATGCTCCCCAAGCCATTGCCGCACCATCGCCTGTCACCGCGGCCGCGCCAGCGTCGGCAGGGCCAATGCATATGGGGCCGCCACCAACCTGCGGGCACTGGGTGCCGCATTGTCAGTCCGCGCCCTGGCCAAGTTGCAACCACTGTGTCTCGTGTAGAGGGAGTCAGGCCCACGCGGGGCACATGGTCCCCTATTCAGGCCCATCCGCAAGTATGGGCCCCCCGAGCTACCCGGCGACTCAAAGTCAGCCCGTGGCTCAACCGCCGCCCTCCCAGCAGGCCTCGCAAGCTAGTGTGGCCGGGGGAGGGGGCCAAGGACAAGGCGGGCAGGGCAATCGAGGCCGGGTCAAGGGGGTAGAGGAGGGGGCGGCTGGGGGCGAGGAGGAAATGGTGGAGGTCGTGGAGGAGGCTGGAATGGTCAAGGGGGTCAGAACCAAGGTGGCCAAGGCAGCCAGGGAGGAGGCCAGGGGTATGGGAGACCCCGCTTCGACTAGCAGAACACAACTTGTTGGCATTGTGGCGAGGTGGGCCACACCGTACGATTCTGCCAACAGCGGCGGGACGACGAAAAGGCAGGATTAATCTCCACCTGTATGGACGGGGATATATACGATCGGTGGGGAACGCACATTGACCCCAAGACCCCGGGAGGAATCAGGCAGAAGGCCCTCAGGCGGGCAGCGGCCGGGCCTCCAGCAGCCCCAACAATATTTAGGATATGGCAGGAAAGGCAAGACCCCGACATAAGAGTCGAGGAGATTGTGGGTGAAAATGAGGAAGTAACTCAGCGGTTGAAGGCAGGGACTATAAAGGAGGAGCCCATTGTCGTTGAGTCTGAAGATGAGGCGCAGGAAGTGGTAAGAGAGTCAGCCTCGACCATCCTGGAGAGGATGGAGGACCTGCTTGCAAAGGTCAGCAGGTATCAGGAACGACTAAGGGCAATGTGTGAAAATGCCCGGGAGTGGGAAATGAGCCTTCCGGAGGTGATGCTCTATGGGTCCGGTCCGGAGTCGTCGTCAGGACCACAACGGTGTTCAAGTGTGGCTACGGCTGGGACAGGCCCTAGGTCAGGGATGACCTTCAGGCCCCCTACGTCGCATGGAAGGGCACCACAGGCTACGCAGACTAGGGGCCAAAGTAAGGGTACCACCAGTCAAGGGCCTAGCGCAGGGACCCAGTCGGGCGCCCCCTCGAAAGGACCCTGAACCCGAATGGAGGAAGGAAGTGGTAGAGGTTCAAGAAGAGGAAGATGAGGGTGTTGACGAAGAGGACGAGAGGCTCCGGCAGGAGGAGGACCGGAGGGCGGAACGGAGGGCCAATAAGAGAGGGGCTCAGGGAGGGGTGGAGTCGAGTCTGCATGACGGTGTGCCAAAAAGGAAGAAGTATGCAGTCCGGCTGGAGGAAGGCTTTGACGTGGAGCGAATGGTGGATAAGCTCCTGGAGGGCCATAACGATTTGATGAACTTAAAGGACATTCTGGCGTCAACACCGAGGCTCCGGGGCGAGCTGAAAGGGCGGCTCTTACGGAGGTTAGTGCCCAATGTCCACCTGAGCTCAATCCTGCCCAGGGAGATAGAGTGGACGGAGGCGGGCACCGGGATGGATTGGAAATGTGTGGCGTGTGGGTTGGTGGACCTAAAGGTGAGGGACCAGCCGAGCATTGCAATGGTGGACACGGGCGCGGAAATAAACATCATCCGGGAGCGGGATGTGACTATGCTCGGGCCGGAGGTCGACCATTCGGACCATGGCGTATTGCATGGCGCCAACTGCAAGGCCATCTTTTGTGGCACCGCATCTAATGTAATGGTAGAGATTAGGAGAGTAAGGGCGCGGACGTGCTTCTTTGTCATGCCTGACGTCGACCACCCTATTCTTCTGGGGAGGTCGTTCCTCTGCCGAACGAAGACCTTGGTCTTCAACAGGCATGAAGGGACGATGATTCTGGCTTTGTCCGATCCGGCCTGTGGAAACTATGAAATCATTAAGTGCCGGAACACAAGACCCGGAAGCGGGAGGAACAGGCTCAACCTCGGCTCCTTTACCTTCGAGGAGTCTGAATACGCGCGACGGAGACTCCGGGAGGAGCAGGAGGAGGAAGGAGTAGGCGAGGTATTATCCCTGAGCCTTAACGATGTGAATAAGGCAATGGAGGTGGTGGTGGCACATGATATGGCGGACCCTGAGGCTATCAAGGCGTTGAGGGAGCAGGTCCTGGAAAACCCTCAGGTGGGAGAAGTGGAACTCATCTATCGGCTTCCCGGGAGGAAAGGAGACCCTGCGATGGCCCAGGCCCGAACGACAAGTCGGCCTTTTTTAGGGGAGGGCTTAAGCAGGGTTCCCAAAGGCGGTACAAGACTATAGACAAGAAGTGCCGCCCGGTCCCCGTGCTTGTCACGGAGGACGAGGAAGCCTATTATGAGCGGGAGCGAGGGCTGATAAGGCGTATGCGGGAGCGCATGCAGGCAGGACCGTGCCGCATTAATAATGAGAATGAGGAAGGGCTGATAATCGGCAAGCCTGGCTTCCTTTCGCCCCAGGAAAGGACCTTGATGGTAGAAACCATGAAGAGGAGGCATGACGCGTATGCGTTTAATGACGACGAGCGTGGGAGGTTGGACATGGATAAGATCCCGATGAGACGAATCCATACCGTCCCACACGAGCCGTAGAACCTAAGGGGCGCGCGATACCCAAATCCGGATGAGGAGAAGAAGGTGGTGGATTACCTGGATGGGAAGATGAGGACGTATGTGGCGGATTACTCCAGTGGGCCGAACGCTTCCCCCTGGTTTTATTTTATCAAGCCGAACGGAACGCTGCGGTGGGTGCAGGATCTGCAACGGTTGAATGCAGTGACGGTGCAGGACGCGGGAGGGTTGCTTAACACGGATGCCCTGTCGGAAACATGCTCAGGGAGGCCTATAATCTCACTTATAGACCTTTATTCTGGGTATGACCAGTTTCCTGTATACCCACCGGATAGGCCAGTGACGGCGATGCATACGCTAAGGGGGCTGATCCACATGAATGTGGCACCTCAGAGGTGGACTAATGCGGTGGCAATGGTGCAAAGACACATGATTAGGGCCATGCAGACAGTTAGCCCACATATCACTCAGCCCTACATTGAAGACTTGGCGGTCAAGGGTCCAAAAGAGAAGGAGGAGGACGAAGTGATGCCGGGAGTGAGGCAGTTTGTCTGGAAGCACGTCCATGATATCGATCAAGTTCTGGGTCTGCTGGAGGAGCACAACCTGACGGCGAGCAGCCCCAAGTCGAAGCATTGCATGAGGGAGACCACGATTCTGGGCTTTGTTTGCAACGAAAAGGGGCGGAGGCCAGATGGGAAGAAGACGGACAAGATCCTAGAGTGGCCAGTCCCCTTCCAATCGATAACGGACGTAAGAAGCTTCCTTGGGACCTGCGGGTTTTGGAGGAGTTTTGTGAAGGACTTCGCCACCAAGACGGAGCATTTGAGGAAGCTGGTACGTCAGGATCAGGAGTGGGTCTGGGGCGAAGACCAGGAAAAGGCTGTGGAAAGGATGAAGAGAGAATTCAAGGAAGGAGGCTTGGTGTTGGGAGCGCCGAATTACGAGGCCACGGAGGAGAAGCCATTCGTTGTCGAGACGGACGCTGGGCCAACTGCCTTAGGAGGCGTCCTGATTCAGGCAGATGCGGATGGGAAGGAGAGGCCGTTAAGGTTTGAAAGTCGCACCCTCAATACGACTGCGAGGAATTACTCCCAGTTCAAGAAGGAGACGTTGGCGGTACTCCATTGCCTAAGGACCTTCCGGAACTATATCTTTGGCAGGAGACTCATTTTGAGGGTGGACCCTACCGCGCTGACATGTTCCCTGAAAAGCTACACTCCATCTGACCCAACCATCGCGAGGTGGTTGACCTACATTTGGATGTTTAACTTTGAATTGGTGAGGATTCCCGGGGACAAGAATAGGGCAGATGGGCTGAGCCGTATTAACTGGGATGGGGCGGGCAAAGAGCCAATTGAAGATACCCCACCAGTCAACGGGTTCTTGGACCAGGAGGAGGACGTCCACCTCTACATAAATGAGTGGTCGCTGAGGGTGCCTAGCTGTGTCATGCATCCTATATGGCTAGCACCAAGGGGGTACGAGCAGAAGGAGGAGTTGGTCCTCAAGCCCTTCCAGGAAGAAGATCCGTGGGGAAGTAGGGATGTTGGCTGGATGATGAGGTTGGCATTGGCAAGGACGCATAGTCTAGCGGAGGAGGTAAGGACGATAGAGGAAGGCCCGACCCAGGTAGAGGAGCATGAGCAACTAATGGGAGGGATGTACTTGCTCACCAACACGCTCCTGCAAGGGAACTTTGACCAGAGGAGCGCAGCCAGCTCCGAAGAGGGCGAACTTCTTATTCCCGAAAGTCAGGACGACGAGTTCGAAGAGGGAGAGATTAGGGAGGCCTTCCGTGTTGAGGAGTATGATGGAATTTATCGGGAATTGGGGTTACTCCTGTCGTGCGAAATAAGGGATAGGGACGCAAGTGCCAAAGCCCAGAAGATGAGGCATCTCTACGTAGTGAGAGATGACCATCTATTCATAAAGCGACAAGTTGGAAACCCCAAGAGGATCGTATGTGGAAGGAACCGACAGATCGATGTCATAGCAGCCTTGCACGATGGTATAGCAGGGGGGCACAGAGGGGTTAGTGCCACGTACGCGAAGATAAGTGAGTTATACCATTGGGATGGAATGTTGACTATGGTCATCAAGTACTGCCAGTCCTATGTGCCTTGCCAGCAGAGGTCAGCGCAAAGGCCTGGGGAGCCTCTACACCCCAAGTTGGAAAGGGAAGTGGGGGCAATTGTACACCTGGACCTGTTACCACTTGGGGAGGATGGAAGTAACTATATCTTCGATGCACGGGACAACCTTACTGGGTTTGTGGACGGTCGGGCTATCCGCAGAAAAACTGGCCTCGTTTTAGCAAGGTGCATCGAAGAGTACTACTTGCGCTATCCATTTGTCAGAGAGTTTGTAATGGACCGGGGGTCGGAGTTTACTTGTAACGAGGTGTGGACATTGCTTGCGGGGTACGGCGTGGTAGCAAATTACACTACTGCCGCGCACCCCCACGCAAACGCGCCTTTGGAGAGGGGGCATAGTACCATCACGAATCTCCTGGCCAAATAGACTGAAGGGAAGCCTAACCAGTGGCCGAAATTCCTGAGAGCAACATTCGTCGTGGAAAATATTACAGTGAAAAGGACTACCAAGTATGCGCCAGCCACGCTATGGTACGGAAGGCATGCCACCTTTCCCATAGAAAGCTTCATGAAGACGTGGAGGCGCTAGGATCTAGAAGTGAACCTGTCCTTTGAGGAGCTGCTCGATATACGGGCGCGGCAGGTGGGAGCCGCTGAGGAAAGGCTACGAGAGGCCGCTGGTCAGGTGGAGAGAAGTCGCATGGAAGACAAGATGAGGTGGGACCAAATGGCCCGAATAAGGAAGGATCCACTGAAGGTTGGGGATGTGGTGCTGCTGTATGACTCCTCGCTGGAAAAACAGTGGTCCAGGAAACTCGACAAACGGTGGCTGAGACCCTATAGGATCGTGCGGTGTGGCGAGTTTGGGGCCTACCAAATTGAGGAGGTGGACGGGGCAGGATGGCAGGACTGGGTATCAGGGACAAGGCTGAAGAAGTTCGTGGCCAGGGAATAGGTAAGGGGCCATGAGACCTCGTTCGGGATAGAGTCTTGCCTAGGTATTACCCAGGTCGGACGGCTAGATAGGTGGGTGATTGGGATGGATGGGTGTGGAGTGTGTGTGGGATTTCCCTAGGCCGATGGCTCGGTTGCTGACCCTGCTGTGTGCATGCTTGTTGTCTCCCGTCTGTGATGCAGGTCTGACTTTTCATAGGCAGTCATGCAGAGGGGCGGGAGGGACACACGGCCACGCCAGGGGCCCCAGAGGATGGAGGGAAGGGGCGAGCAACACGAGCCTCATAGGAGGGAGCTTACGCCTGAGTTTGATGACGACAACATTGAGCTCTTCTTGGACGTATATCGGGACCATGCGGCACAGAGAGGGTGGTCAGTGGCGGAGAGGATTCACCACTTGAGGGGCATAGGGCGGTTCGAGGAGCCTGTCGCTCAGATATGTGAGGAGGCCTTGACTTGGCCAGACGTGGAGGCCGGGATGCAGAGGTTGAGAGCTTCCCCTAGGGGGCGTGATGGCATGCCCATTCGATTGGAGGAGGGGAATGCAGATGAGTTCATCCCCACATATGAGCACTACATGTTGAGTCTGGGGGTTGCGCAAGGGGAATGGGTGCAGGCCCTACTTATCTGGACGAGGCGGGCAAAGAAGTAGGCGGTCAAGCAGATTCAGGAGAGGGCTCGAGATTGGGAGGACTGTCAGGCCCAGCTCAGGAGGGCGTTCGAACGGCCAGAGCACGAGAGGCACGAGCCCAGCGTTGAGAGACGACGGCGAAGCAAGAGGCCAAGGGAACCGGCACCGAGAGAGGCGGGGTTGGCCAGAGAGAGGAGGGGAGCCCCGGCCCAGCAGGAGGATGGTCCCGCAGGGCCTGCATTGGCAGAGGAGTCGTTCCCTGCTTGTGACCTCCGGGCGGTTGAGTTTCGGCGGATTACGAGTGAGGAGTTGAGGCTGCCCTCGCCACTGCCATCAACGCAGGAGCTGGACATACCAAGAGAGACGCCATTACAAAGTTTAGCGACTCATCTTGATGTATCCCAATGGGAGGCCTCACGACTGGGAGAGGGCTCAGTTGAGACGGCGTGCTACGTGCCATTGGACGAGCCCCTCGACCCTGAGATGGAGACAAATATGTGAGACCGAGAGGAGCCGCGGGACCCTGAGATGGCAGCCGAGCGGCCAGATCCGGTACGACCTCAGGGGAGAGAGGTGATCACAGTTGGGGACGATACCCCTCCATGCTCCCCAGCTCCAAAGCCAGCACAGCGTTCATGGCCAGAGGGGATTCTTGAGCCAGGTAGCGAGGAGATCCCGGAGTTTCCCCCTGAGGCCACCACAATACCTGAGCAGGAGGCAGAGGCGGAGAACTGGGGAGTGTGTGAGAGAGCGAGGATGGAGGCGCCCCTTGACTTGCCCTCGGCCACGCAGGCGACCAAGAGCCCGGACATCGAGGAGCCCGTTTCAACAGAGTTACCGCCAGTAGTGCCGGGCGCGAGCACAGGGATGGAGGCGGAGGCGTCGACTCCAGGAGACCAGGGGCCGCGAATGGGAGGAACCCCAAGAGAGACCCGCGAAGAGAAGTCCGCTCGAGTGCGGGTCCGTCTGGACGAGATATACACAAGACAGGCTGAGATGGAGGCGGCGGGGATAGAGCCGACACCGCCGGTCGAGCCCAAGACGAGTGAGCATAGGATCGACGAGTTGTGGGCTAGGTACGAGAGCCAGAGGGATGCAGCCCGTCAGAGGTCACGAGAGGCGGGACAAGCGGACGAGGAGATGAGTGAGTTGAGAGAGATGGGGGACTTGGGGTTCTCCGCGACCAGGCAGGCGATTGAGCGCATGGATCGGAGGGTATGCGAGACGACAGTCACATCCTTCCAGTGGTATAATCTACTCAGCAATAAGCTCAGAGTTAAGGAGTTGGAGGTGGAGCACCTGACCACTCAGCTTGCCGAGGAGAGGACGAGGAGCAGGGCTAGAGAGGTTGAGTGGGAGAGGAGATTTGGGGAGATGGCGGCCGCTGTGGGTAGGCTCTCGGCAGCCTGGGAAGCTAGCCAGATGGGGCGAGCCGGTGCCGATAACCAGGGCCGAGGGGTGCAGGCTTCGCCGGGTCAGGGAGCAGCGGTGGAGGTCCCTCGACAAGCCAAGCCAATTGAGGAAGCGCTCTTGGACGCAGTCGAGGAGGAGAGTGGCGCGCAGGAGTCGCTTATGGCTATGTCCACGGAGAGGAGAGGTTTGCGCTTGCATGAGCTGGCGGCAACCATGGGGATAGGCACTCCACAGGAGGGGCCTCAGGGACTCGACACTCCAGAGCATACCCCGAGGTTGGGGGAGTTGAGGGCGGAGCTGGGCTTCTGGGCCACGGGGACCGACTAAGGAGGGCCTGACTCGCGACGGCAACAGCAGCAGGAGATCATGAGTGAACCCGCCGCTATGGGTGGCTCTCAGCCGTCAGGAGTATGTAATGATGAGGTGATGATGACAGAGAGGGCGCATGAAGAGGGACCCCAAGAGTTGGATACGCCCGAGCGCGGGCCAGGGAGTGCGGCTGCACGAAGGGCTGGAGGTGCTGAGGCTATGGAGCCCGGACCTCAGGGCCATGTGGGGTTGCCCTCGTGTCATAGGTGATTACTAGGACCATGGGGGCGCCTTCGACATCGAGTTCGGAAGGAAGGAAGAAGAAGACTGTCAGGTGACACGATATCTCCTGTTTTTGGTGCAAGGAGGGAGGGCATAGAGCCATGGACTGCCCAAAGCTCCTTGAGGATAAGGCCGAGGGGCGAGTTGCGGAGGTCGACGACAAATTCTATGACAGACAGGGCGAGGTAGTGGAGCGAGCTCCAGATGGGGGCAGGGCTCAGTTATATAGGCAGAACCAGGAGAAATTGTGTAAATAGGGATGGGTCTGTCTATATACTGATAGGGCTAGAGACCCTTGACACACACAGGGCGGGGTTAGGGGTGTACATACCTAGAGTCAGTTGAGCGGGCCCTAAGGTGTGTGTGTATGTGGGAGTGGCGAGATGAGTTTTTATTCGATTGTACATATGCGTTTGACTGTTGTTCACTTGTTTTCTCTTGAGTTTCTTCGTGGGCTATGACCCAGGGGTAGGACCCAGCTGGGCGATATATGAGACCGTTTAGTTACATTTGGTTTTATGATTCAGGTGCTGCTCTGAATGAGGTTTGGGATTTTATAGCACTCAGGATGTGAGTTTTCCATCAGGAGAGGACAGGGCCTGGCCATTCTGTGGATGATTAGGCGGATGCTATGTTCTTCAATGTATTTGATGAGTGTACAGTGGGGTTATGAGTCCTACTCAGACAGACGGGGTACTGAGTTGAGTGCTTGTATTCGATTGTTGGGGGAGGCATTCTACTCCCTTAGTGTACTATGAGTTGAGATCCTATGGGACCTGTCTTGTGACGATCACTATCGCTCTCACATGTGTGGATTTATCTCAATGAATGTTTGGCTTTGTGTGAGAGATATACAGGTTACATCTCATGGGCATGATTGCATGAATTGAAGAGTTGTCTACCCTCCGGTATACTCGTGCGGTCTGCTGCGAGCGGGCGAGAGGGCAGAGTATAAGGAGGGGGAGTGCAGCCTGTTTGTAAAAATTGTGAGAATCCTACGGGATTGACGGACTTAGGAATTTGCATGTTTGGTCATACTAAACATCGTTGCCTAAATCGTATAGGGACCCAGAAGGTGGCCCCTCAGTTTGAGTTGTTTGATAACTAAGACCCCCTTCATGATTCTGGGAGGTGGGAATTACATTGTGTGAAAACCCCTTCATGGTTTTGGGAAAGGTCGTGTGAGGAGTCATCCCATACAGGAAGGGGATGGCCAGGAAATCTTTTGTAAAAAGCAGCCTTCACTAAGTGAGGGTGGGTAAAAGTTGAATGGTGTGGAAAACATTGTCTATGCTGATAAAGTCTGACGAGAGGGGACCATGTTTGCTTGAAATGTTTAAGAAGGGCGAGAGATACCTCAGGGTGGGCGGTTGCTGGCTCTGATCAAGTCAAGAGCCGCGGCCAGGTGAGTCCGGCAGGGATGGTTTGTGATTGAGTGAAGGATGCCGTGCCTAGTATAGGAGGGCCGGTAAATGCCTTCAGACCCCTGCGTAGTCCCGCAGCGGCCTGTGAGTTTGTTTGTGACACCCCGCCGGGCCACCTGTGCTAATTCTGAGACATATTTAAAGGAATACCAAGCTAACGGTAAAGTTTAGTGCCACCTGGGCGCAACCCCTAATGGATGGCTGCTAGCTGGCACAACCTGGCTGCGGGCCCGCAAGGTAAGAGTTTAAGGGGAGTTGCCCGCCCCAGGGAAATTACCTTGCGGGATAAGAGTTGAGTCTTCTAAAAGCCCTGATTGATTGATTATCAGGGACATGCCTGACATTGTATAACCAATGGGAGGATACCGCCGCTAAGGTAACAACGTGGTAGGCCCTAGACCCGGCCTGATCAGCCAGGCTACGGTGGACCCAGATGGGGACCTGGCATTTCTGTACTAGACTGCAGAAAAGCCCGAGGGAGGCTACAGACCTATACGTGTGTATTTTGTTTGACTATGAGGAATTTGTGGAAAAAGGCAAAGAATGCCTTCATAGGTCCCATTCGAAGCCTGCGTCCCTAGTTATGGCTCTGCTTACGAGAAAGAGGCTAACTGGGACACCCAACGAGAAGCCGACGGTTGTCTAGGACGAAGGGGAAGAGGATGGTTTGAGGGCCATTGGAACTTATGCTGTAGTATTGACGCGTAATACACCGGCGTCCTGGTGTCAGGACAATGGAGACCCAGGTTGAAACCCTGGCAGCATATAGTTGTGTTGGCACGGTTTGATGGAGGCCTCGACCCTGAGTCTGTCGGCTAATCGGATTGGTTCCGATCTCATCAGCATTTGGAATGTGAGGGAGTGTATAACTTTTTGACCTGGCGATGCGACGGGAATGTCGCTTAATACGGTCCGGTAAGCTGTCGGCGCGAATACCCTTACAAGGGTATCCACCCTGGGTTTTGCAAGTGACAAAAAGGCTCGGTTAACTTGGACTTTTAGTGCCCGAGCGGGAAAATGTGAGGGTTGTCCGCGCGCAGGCCAAGGTCTGCCTTGTCCCGGTAGGGAGTAGGTGGGCGCGCAATATGAAAGGCGCGCGTGTGATTTTTCTAATTGAATGGGCGGCCGGGGTAGCCGACCGACCTGGACCGAGTTACGGCCTTGGTTAGGAAATAAAAGTTTGTTTTTGATAGGTGCACGTGACCGAGGGTAAGGCTGGCGCGCCGGTAGGTGCATGGGACGGCCACAGCGCGGGGTGGTAGGCCGGCACGGGCGCCTAGGGGCCGTGGGTACAAGTGTGGGTTGGAAGAGTGGCCTGGGCGGTATCCTGGCCCGGAACACCGCGCGGTGCCACTTTACATGGGAAACCGCGCTTGCTGGTCACAGGCTTGGACTTGGCCCTATAGGTTACGGCACTGGATTTGCACGACGGAGGTACGAGGTTCGAGGCCGGCGGACGACGACGTAGGAGCAATGGAGCGCCAGAAAGTTAAGGGGTTGAGGGTCCCTCAGAACTATCCCCCTTTTGCTTTTCTAAGGGGAGCCCGACCGTCGGTCCGCGCCGCTAGGCTATGGGAATATTGGCAGGGCCGCGGTTCATTCCCCCTTCCAAACGATCCCTTTTTCTTATTTTGGGGACCACCCCAGAATTTTTCTGCCTAGTTAGAGTCGTTTAAGAGGCAGCCAGCCGCACCCTGAGGCCAACGACCCATCTTGTTGGGAGTACCCATATACCATGGGGGCGCAGACCCCCGCCTAACTTGTATGATGGGGGCCAAACATTAAAAAGGTTGGGCTTTGCAGGAGCTGGCCAACTATCTGACGCAGCCGCTAGGGCGGATCTAGGTAACGATTTAAAGAAAATCTGCCTCGTCGCGCGCAAAGGCTCACCGAATAAACCCCGAAGAGAGGGCCAAGTCCACGAGGAGAGAGTGGGGCGAATCGGGTAGTGATCTTGGCAGATCTCCCTTGGGAGGAATCCCGGTAAGGCGGAGGAGATCTGCGCGATCTACGAGGGGGTGGTGTAAGAGGGGAGGTCCGGGAGTGAACCCGGACGGGAGATGGGAAAAAGGGTGAGAGAGCGGACCGTGTTGTTCAGTGAACCGCCCCAGGGACCCTCCCGGCCTAGTGTCTGTCGAGGCTGTGTGGGAGTCGGATTAAGAGGGCGCGCACGTGGGGTGACAGATGAACAAGGGGGTCCGGGGACGAATCTGGGCGCAATCTGGGCTAGGGGGAGGGCCGGGCGATCTTTTCGAAGAATCGTGAAAGATTGTCGGGCGTGGCCTCTGGGGGCGCGTGCGAAATTAGGAGTGACACGGAGGAGATTAGTATGGCTCCTGTGTATGGACAACGCGCAGGATTTGGGAAAAGGGGGAGGGGCACTTACTCGAATCTGGCCTCGACGGGAGACCAGATTCGTGCGGAGTTTTGTCAAGGTCGGACGGTGCTTAGGGCCGGTCGCGCTCTGAAGGACCAAGTCCTTCGGGACGTCCGCAAAAATTGAAATGGTATAGAGGGGATCGTCGAGGCCCCCGCGCCGGGGCAAGGAGTATAAGTTCGGAAGGCGAGCGCGCACACTGTTTTGCCACACCGGGCTTTGACGGAGTACTTCGCTGTGGGACCGGCCATTGCTGGAGCCGCGCGAACCGTGAGTAAAAGCTGCGGTGCTCGAAGGAAACGGGAAAGGGTTGTTGACGTCAACGCGCGGCAGTGGGAAGAGGTGGATCTAGGCGCGAAACGGCGTAAGGTGCGCGCGCAGCGGGGTAGGAGTCGAAGATGGCGGGGAGTCGAGCGGTGTGCGGTCAAGAACGCCGAGCCTTGCCGCTCAAAATGGAAATGGGCGGGTAGAGAATGCGTCCTTGGGGTTCTGGGCCGGGCGAGCCGATTGGCGGTGTTAGTCTCAGTCACGGAGGTCTGGTTCGGGAGCGATGAGAGATAGAAACTGCGGAAGAGGACGGAAGGTGGTAGGAGTTACGAAGAGAGGACAGAGGTGAAGGTGGGGGAGGGCCGAGTACCTACCTGATCAGAGCGCATTCTGTTGTTGCGGGCAATAGTACTGCCGCCATTACGATATCGGCCGACTGTGCATGAATCGGACTGGTGACGGGGCAATGGATTCCACCCCATACTAGTGGAGGGGGTCGTTTCGTAGGTAGGATCGACGGGTAGCAGACGACAGCCGTGTGTGGTCCACCGTGGTACTTCGGCAGAGGGCCGATGGGTTGCGTTTAGCTATACCTCTGTGAAAGGTCCATTC